AGAGCAGTCTTCAGTGGAGGGGCTTTGTTGAAGTAATCCTTATTTTGAATGGCTTGGACTAACTCGATCGTTAAAACATTCAAGGATGTTAAGCTTTGCATGTCCTGGTACATGTGATGCTGCTCGAAGTACCAAGGCATTCACTGGTTGGAGTGGCGTCATTTTCGACCTTTGTTGCTTTGACTGCTCTTCCAGTTATCCTAGAATCTCGGGTCGTTATTCAATCGTTGGTCAAGGGCTCGGTCACTCTTTTGCCTTCCATCGTCATCCCGGTCCTTCCGCTTCTGTGGTGGGAGGTTGGATGCTCTCGGTTTAATTTTCGAGGACTCCACAAGGTCTTCTTCGGTAGTGACGTGGTCATTTGTCAATTCCAAGACCTCTGCGAAAAACTTTGGCTTAAGTAAGTTCAGTTCATACCTGAATCGCTTGTTGCAGATTCCTTATATTAAGACGGTTCAAGCGATGAGAAGCTCCAAGTTCTTCACCTCCAGCATTTCCTTTTGAAAGCTCGTAGGATTTCTCTCTCCCCTTGCCTTCTCTGAAGCACGTCTCTGTATACTTCCTTGGCTTATGTACATAAGCAAAGTGTGCCAAGAAGAGCTTCCAGAATTTGAAGAACAATGGGATGAATCTATCTTGTAGGTTATTAAACCGTTGAAGTGCTGCTTCTTTTAGCGTAATCAAGAATAGGTGGTATTTCATGGCGTCATCGATTTACAGGATTCCGGCCGCCGACTCAAAAGAGTGGGTGATTGGTCGGGTCACTCCTCTTTCCTCTATAGAACTTGAAATGGGGAATCCTAAGCTTCGCTGAGAGTATTGTTTCCATAATTCTTTTGGAGAAGGCACTACCCATAATTGGTCGAGTGAACTTTCCTCCTAGGGCCATCCGGTGTGGGACCCCCGGCGTAGATTCTATTATCTCGGTTGGCTGGTTGTCGGGCCAACCGTGGGGCACTAGTGGATTGTCGAAGGGATCCTTCTGGGGGCGGTTTCCCTGAGACTCTCCCTCCACAGGTGGCGGTCTGGAGCTCTGCAGAATTATGACTACCCGAAGAACCTCAAACTGATCCATTATTTGTGCTTGCAATGCCTGGACCACTTTTTATATGCCGCGACACACTTTTTTCTATTGGACTTCATGGACGTTGTTTCTCACCGCAGGATTCTTTTTCGTAGTTGGCTCCTTTTCTCGTCTAAGGCATGCTCACCCTCACCGCACCACCTTTTAGAATGTTGAATCCTAGATTGTCCTTTGTGAAAACACGTCTCGAGAGTTAGAGCCAGAAAGAGGATGAAACAAAATAAAGTAATTGAGGAAGTCTCTGTAGAGAAATGGGCAGGGGTCTCTTTATTCGTTCATTTACCTCATATTTATAGAGACGTATTTGTACAATTACATAAATGTGAGAATAGATATGAAAACTGTCCTTAATGCAATTTAATCATGAGGATTTGTTGTCAAGTATATATTACAATTTGAATTCAAATGTGGTTGTAACTAAATTGTTAACGCGCTTGAATTTGGTTGATTGAGGTGATCAATTGAGAGGTGATCGCGCCTGCTGAAATAAAAGGTCGGTCGGTTGGTATGCTGCGGTTGGGCTCTCTTGTGAAAAATTTAGACGGTCCGCGACTGTAGGCGTGGCCAACCGATTGATTCCCTCGTCATAATGAGTCAGGTGGGTCCGAATGAGCTGTCGATCTTTGAATGGTCGACTTGGATCACGTTCTTACAGGCTAATGCCTCAATTGTCTGCTATCGTATATATTCGTATATATATATATATATCAAACAATACTCTTA